TCCCCATTTCAAGTGGAGTCCTGGGCAACTTTTCTGAAAATGAAGGGCAATGCTGTTTCCTCCAACTTTGCCAGCAATTGGCTAGACTAACACTACGTTATGGCTGGTGAACAGATTACAAAAACCTTAGTGTACTTTTCACATTCCAGGTTCATACAGGAAGAGAAAATAGAAGGCACCCCAGTGGCTTCATCACAGAATACCCCGGGATTGAGGGAAGGCCCTTTTGAGCAAAGAGTCGTTGGAGAAATGCTTGTTAATCGGTTCTTATTTCCGTCAACAGTGGCTGTCCAGCAGAGAGTTTAAAGGCTGAGTTGGACTAGCTTGCAGAAAAGAATATTTTTCTAATCTCTTTGAAGAACTCTTTAAGCGCAAGAAGAAGAAAGAATCTTATGTGTCCGTGTATTTACCTTAGAAGTGAGAGTTCAAATGCCCTTTCACTGTGCCTTACCACTTTTCTTTCCAAATAGAAATATGGCACATTGATCTTTTGAGTTATGTTAGAATGTCATTTTACAGTTTACAAAATCCTTTCACATATAGCCCTAAATCGCCTCTTTATTTTCCATTTAAAAGCCTAACCTTTCAGCCTTCGTAGATCGACTGAAGTTTAAAATCTTATAGTGAAGTTCTTTGGACTCGCCTTTGGTAAAGCAAATCTCTTGAATTTTGACATAAAATATCTTCCTCTACACTTCTAGTTATTTGAGTTTTGTTTTTCTTTCCCAATCTCTAAGGAAATCACAGCAGTCCTTCATTACTCTGTTAAATTCCTATCAACCTCTGAGCTGATCAAGGAATCTATTTAGTTGGCCTAGAAGGGAAATATACAATCACACATGCCAATATGATTATATAGTGCAATATTCAAATGACATAAGTGTAAAATTGGAGAGGCAGTTAAAGAAAGGTTCCAAACTAGGCTGCCCTGAGAAATAGGGAGCACTAGCTTTAGTATCACTTTTGAAAGGGATTTTAATACCGAGGTCAAAACTCTACCTCATTAGAACCTGGGCTTCTTCCTCGTGCAGCTATGCTTGCTACAGCAGAATCCAGCCAATGAAATTCTAAAACAGGATGTAACACCAAAGCATGACCTGCAATGTCTGATGTTCGGTGTCACAAACATGTTTTAAGGGACCCTCCATCAAAACGGATAAGCAAAGACCTTTCTTAGAGAAATTGTTGTTGTTAGTTGCCATCAAGTTGGCTCCAGTTCTTGGGGACCCCGTGTGCAGTGTAATGAGATGTTGCCCAGTCCTGTGCCATCTTCATGATCATTGGCATGTTTGAGTTCATTGTTGCCGCCATTGTGTATTACGAGTGCCTTCCAACCTAGGGGGCTCATCTCTAGTACTATATTGGACAATATTCTGTTCTGATTCAGGGGGTTTTCATTGGCTCATTTTTGGAAGTGGACCACCAGGCCTTTCTTGCTAGTCTGTCTTAGTCTGGAAGCTCTGCTGAAACCTGTCCACCATGGGTGACCCCGCTGGCATTTGAAATACCAGTGGCGTAGCTTCCAGCATCACAGCAACAAGTAAGCCACCGCAGTACAACAAACTGACGGACAGGTAGATGGTGGTTAGAGAAATTGAGAAAGGGTTTAACTGAAGGGCAAATGTGACAGAAGCAGGTTTTTTTTTTTTTTTTTTTTTCCTCTCCCTGAAGATCAGCACCGTGGCTCAAGGATTAAAATGATGATTTTAACAAACTCAAGTAACCATTTAAATAGATCTTGGCACTGCAATTTGAAATTACTCTTCGTAAATGGAAAAATCACTTGGAATTTATTACGAAATAATGCTTCTCTAAATATGCTTCTAACTGTATGTTTAAAAATTTCCAGCTGTCTTAGGCCTTCATGAAAAGAAAATAAAAGTCATCTGATTACTTAATTGTGGCATTTTCCATTCCCAATTCTAATCCTTCTTTTGAGGCAATTTAAAAGTGGCTTAGATTTTTTTTTTTTTTGTCTGGCAGGTTGTAATTAAATAATTATAGATGAGCAAAAAACACAGAAGAAAAGCATGCTCCTAGTCCTGATGATAAATAACATATTGGAATATTTTATTTCAATTTAGATAACTTTATTTATTCATTAAATGGTAAAATTAAAGTTAATCCAGGTTACGTTCCAAGCAATTTACAGGGCATTACTATGGACACGGAGCCCTGGTGGCACAGTGATTAAGAGTTCGGCTGCTACAAAAAAATAATACACGTGAGGAATGTGCTTCTTAGTTCAATCAGATATACGAGACCAAATGGGCAACTCCTGTCCAAAAGCAGGATGAGAAGGCAGGAAGGGACAGGAACTGGTCGAATGGACACAGGGAACCTGGGGTGGAAAGGGAGAGTGTGCTGTCACATTGTGGGGATTGCAACCAATGTCACAAAACAATATGCGTATAAATTTTTGAATCAGAAATTAACTTGAGCTGTAAACTTTCACCGAAAGCATAACAACAATAACCAGAAAAGAGTTCGGCTGCTAACCCAAAGGTCAGCAGTTCGAATCCACCAGCTGCTCCTTGGAAACCCGATGGGACAGCCATACTCTGTCCTAAAGGGTTGCTATGAGTCAGAATTGACTCGATGACAATGAGTTATAAATGCAATAGACATATTTTGAAAAATGGTTCCCATTTTCAAATTAATAAGGTGGGCTGAACAATGCTTCTTCCTAAAGTTCTTAAAGTTCCTAAGGTTTCTAAAGTCAGCAAAAAAGATGAGGACCCTCAATGAGATGGATTAACACAGTGGCTGCAACAATGGGCTCAAGTATAACAACAATTATAGGCATGGTGCAGGACTGGGCAGTGTTTCATTCTGTGGTACATAGGGTCACTATGAGTCAGAACCAACTCGACAGCACCTAATGACAACAACAAAGTTCTTGATAGAAAAAAATAAAAAAAGCTGTATAAGGTAAAATCATGGTTGAGATACATATAGATTACTTGGTTACATAACTCTGTTTGTTAGTGTGGCAGACAGACTTTAAGATGGCTGCCAATGATTCCTGTCTCTGGTATTCACAGCCTTGTATAATCCCCTTTCTTTTAGTATGAATGTGACCTGTGATGCTTCTAACCAGTAGAATAAGGCAAAGGATGTCACTTCCATGATAATGTTACATAAGATTGTAACTTCCATCTTGCCCTCAGATTCTCTCCCTTGGTGGCTTTGATGAAGCAGGCAGGTTGTCATGTTGGGGAGGACCACATGGCAAGGAACTGAGGGTGGCCTCCAGCCAACTTCCTGCTAGGAACTGAGGCCCTCAGTCTAACAGCCTACAAAAGAACTGAATCCTGCCAATAACAATGGAAGTGAGTTTAGAAGTGGATACTTCCCCAACTGAGCTTTCAGATGAGACCCCACCATGATGTGCATCCACACATTTATGTATCCACTCTCCCAGAGATGGACACCCAGCTTGCCTTCAACACTCCACCCTATACATTCTACTGCAAGGAACATTCTCACCCATGTTCCCTTAGAGGCTAGTGGCAGAATTTTTTTATGCTATAAAGCCAGGTTGGAATTGCTGGATCACAGTAGTTGTGCTGCTGAAGTTGACCTGGTGGTGCCAGATGTCTCCCCAGAACCAATACACATGTCGACATGCCCACTAGCAATGCATGACCCTTCATCTTATGTCCTGACTTATTACCTGATTACCCCGATGCTCTATTACTCCATCTAAAGAGGATAATGGCTGTCTACTCCAGTTACCGGGGCTCTCTGGCAACTCTTGGCAAGAGGAAACTCGTGACACCAGATGGGCCACCGTCAACAGTGTGCTGCCCCCTACCCATCGCCATCACCCTAAGTGTTCTGATTCTTCCTTGAATTGTAGTTCTAGTCCTCATTCTCCTGCTCCATTGACTCCTTTCCTCCCCCACCCCACTCCCTACCTGACGGTCCCAATGCTGCTGTGGCTAGTCAGTAGAACATGGCCCAACACAGCCAGACGTAAGTGGGCCAAGCCTCAAAGCAGTTAGTGCTAGAAAGGCAATTTGCGGTGACTTCTTCACGGATGCAGCCTTGCCTACAGATCCCCTTCGCCTTCCTCATTAGGGCAATAAATCACAAAAGCAGGTAATTAATTATAACCCAAAGTAGAAAAAGTCAGTTCCTCAACAAAGTGGCAACTGACCTTTCTCCTACTCATGATAAAAAAGGAACAAAGGAAGGAAGGAAGCAAAATGATTATAACCCGTAATATGATTTGTCCCCCAAGGGTTTGAGTTCTTTGGAAGGTTTGGCTGAGTTGGAGGAAATTAAATAAACCATTGCATTCTGTTGTTCTGCTTTTAGCTACAAAACATTCCCTATTGTGAACAGGATTTCCCAATTGGTGCCTGTCTGAAATATTTATCAGCCCAGCGTCCCACACACTGTTACTGGGTGCGCTTAACAAGCCACATGGCGCTGAAGGTGATGTTTGCTGGGGGGCTGCTTTTGGATAAGAAACCTACAATGATATTTCTCTTTCATGATGCTGACCCTGAGAAAATAATCATGTTCAACGAGATGACAGAATTTTTAAAAAAAAATCTCTCTCCCCATACAGAAAACCACAGGGAAATGTTTAAGCAGCAAAGAAAAGTAGGCTAGAGGAACATCAGAAGGGAAGAATCCATTTTGAGAGCAGTAACAAGTGTAAAGAGACTGACTGAGTTGGCACTGCTAAAACCATCCACCCTCGACAGTTTAGTTGCCCGGCCCTGCGGTTAGACGGCGCAGATAATATTGCCTCATGTGAACTGCAGGGGGAGATTCCACTCAGGCTGTTTGTTAGCTTGGGAAATACTTGATTTTTGGTCCTATGCTGTCTGAAAGCCCACTTAGGAGCTTTTTGATTTTCTCTGCCCTGGAAGTCCAAGGAAGATTTCACCAGTGCATCCTATATTTCATTTGAAAAGAAAACCGCCACTGGTAGAGTCCGGGCTCCATGCGTTTCATAAATCTGTTTGTTTTTTTTTCTCTTCCAGAAGCTGCAAAGAATCGATCCTGCTCACTGTCATTCAGCCTTACCCTGTAAGTGTTCTATGAGTAAAAGTGTCACTATACGGTCACAGGTTCTAGTTCCCTCCCACCGTCTTCATTATCCGCTCCGGTAAAACCTCGACAGTGAAGAACAGCAGACCAAAAACCAGCCACCACCACCACAAAAACAGTATTCACGATACAGCTTTAGAAATCTCGATTATTTGTACTCTATACTCCGTGTGTGCAAAGCCATTCATTGGAGAACAAATATCTTGGAAAGACAGTTGGCTCTCCAGGCCTGTGGTTCTCTTAGCTCTGGAAATGACACAAAACTTAAGACTTTCTGATAGTTTTCAGCTTAAGAATCAATCCCGAGTCTGTTGGGAATACCAAACTGTAGGCAGTTGAAGATAATTGTTTTTCTTAGCCCCATCTAAATAACTTGGGCGCGAACTGGATATTTATTTATTATTAATTAATTAATTATTTAGGGAGCCCTGGTGGCATAGTGGTTAAGAGCTCAGCTGCTAACCTAAAGGTCGGCTGGTTCAAAACCACCAGCCGCTCCTTGGAAACCGTATGAGGCAGTTCTGCTCTGTCCTATAGAGTCGCTATGAGTCGAAATCGACTCGATGGCAAAAGGTTTGGTTTTGGTTTTTGGTTTGGTGGCGTAAATGGTTCACGCGCGGCTGCTAACAGAAAGGTTGGTGGTTTGAACCCACCCAGTGGCTCTGCAGGAGAAAAGACCTAGCAACCTGCTCCCGTAAAGATGACAGCAAGTTGCGAGTGGACAGCCCAGTAAAACCATGAGAGTAACGAGGTACAGGAGTCCAGTGACAAGGCCCAGAAGGCAGAAGGGGAGTAGGAAGCTGATGATAGGG